GGGGGGGGGGGACGTGTCTAATGGTTAGAACGGGGCAGGGAGCCAGGACTCCTGAGTTCTGGCCTGGGATGGGGGGTCAGAGCAGGGAGGGACTCGGGCCCTGGCTCAACACAAAATCCAGCCCAGGTTCCCACGATGGCTGGGCCATGTCCCACCGCACCCAGTTGTGGGCAGGTTCGGGCAGGGGCTGGTCCTGTACCACAGCTGGGTTCGGGCGCTGGGGGAGGCGTCACTGCAAACCATTCCCCCGCCCCCCCCATGGATGCTGCGATCCCAGGGGTGCTAGGGGGTGTCATGCATGTCCAGGCCATAGGACATGCCCTGTGTCCCCATGGGTACATAGGGGACCTGCAGGGGGGCACTGACAGAATTCCCCTGGCCGCCGCTGCCCGTCCAGCCACCATGGTGACATGCAGTGACGAGCGCTGGCGGCTCAACTGGGTCAGACCAGACCCACTTCCAGGGCGCACCCTGCACTGACGTGAGCACAAGGGCGCCCTGGGCTGAGCTGGCATCTGCCTGGGGCCGGCTCGCAGCTGCTGCCCACCCCCCACAGGGCAAGGCCTCGTGCCCACCCACCTGGCCAGCTTCCTGCTGCTGGACCCGGGGCCAGGCATGGGCAGCATTACCGGTGCTGCCCCCCCCCCCCCCCCGGCAGGGGGCTAAGGGCAGCAGGGGTACCAGGCGACCCAGGGGCCAAAGGAAGCTGGTGACGCAGGGCCCCAGATGTGGCTGCCAGGATGAGTGAATGTCTCAAAAAACATTTTTTTGAGGCAGCTGCGATGGGAAGGGGGTGGGGGGCAGGGAGCCAGGACTCCTAGGTTCCAGTCCTGGTTCTGGGAACGATGTGGGGGTCTAGTGGTTAGAGCAGCGGGGGGCAGGCTGGGTGTTCCCCCCCTCCCCTGTGTCTCCAATGGGCTGACTGGGCCCCTGGTGGGGGCGGGGGGTCTGGCCATAGCAGGATTTTTGGTGGTCGCTGTAGGTTTGCCTGTGCTCACAGACCCCGACTGGGCGGCTGCAAAGGCTGGATAGGGACGTGCTGCGCCTGGGTGTGGGAGCAGAAACCCCCCCACCCCGCAGCTGCCTCAGGGAACCTGTGCTCCAGCTGGCCCCACAGCTCCTGGGGTGGTCCCGGGCCACTTGCTCTTCATGGGAAGGGGACGGGATGCCAGCGAATCTTGTGCCCCTGCCCAGCTGGCTCAGGGATGCAGCGCCTTTCTGAGCCAGGCCTCGTTCACCTGAGCTGCTGGACTTAGGCCAGCCCCCCGCCCCACCTCCAGTGTAACGCATCCCACCCCGCCTGCCTTGCCCACTAGTGCCCCCCATCACCCCTTCCCCTCCAGTGCTCCTTGAGCCCCCCCCAGCCCTGCCTCCAGTGTAACGCATCCCACCCCGCCTGCCTTGCCCACTAGTGCCCCCCATCACCCCTTCCCCTCCAGTGCTCCTTGAGCCCCCCCCAGCCCTGCCTCCAGTGTAACGCATCCCACCCCGCCTGCCTTGCTCACTAGTGCCCCCCATCACCCCTTCCCCGCCAGTGCTCCCTGTGAGCACCTCCCCCCCAGCCCTGCCTCCAGTGTAACGCATCCCACCCTGCCTGCCTTGCTCACTAGTGCCCCCCATCCCCTCTTCCCCGCCAGTGCTCCCTGTGAGCACCTCCCCCAGCTCCCTTAGTCTGTTTTGTCCTTAGGCCTTTCCCTTCACGCTTCCCCCACCTCCACGCCGCTGCTGGCCTGAGGTCGGGGCTGGGCACTGATTTGCAGGGGCGCAGGTTGGAGGATTTAGTCGCTTTATTGGCAGGCAGCTGGAGGCATCCCATGGTCCCAGGCACACGAACCCCAGCAGTGCGGCGGGTACGTGCTGGGAAAGCAGTGGGGCCTGGCCGGCTGGGGGTGGGCAGAACAGAAAGCCTGGGGCTGCCCCAGCCCTAGGTCGGCTCTGCTGGCGCGGAGCCCATGGTGGGGACACACAAGCCCATCATGCTGCAGCCTGGGGGGGCGGGGTGGGGGGCGAGAGCAGCAGCAGGCTGGCTCCTGCCCCACATGGGAGGGGCTCAGTCCATGGGCGCTGCCTGCAGTGCGGGAGGCCGGCTGGGACCAGGCGATGGGCAGTGGCCGTGGCTGAACTGATCTGCGGTTGCTGCAGAGGGGCCCCAGCAGTGCTGCAGGCAGCTCACTGCACTGCGGCTCCAGGGGTCGCAGCCTCGGGGAGGGGCTGATACAGAGACTATTCCAGTGCTGCTCTGGGACCAGCTGGGGGGTGTGTGTATGGGTGCTCAGGGGCCACCCACCTCCAGCCCCGCCCAGGGACAGCACAGCCCTAGGGGGGTCAGGACCTGGCAAACCGTCCTGTACCAAGGGACTGACCTGCTGGGGATTGTTCCTGCCGAGTGTGTGGCCTGAGTCTATCAAACACTAACTGCTCGGCAACCGGGCAGCAGAGCCCCTGTTCTCCTGGCCTCACAGCACACGGACAGGCCGTCGAACTGAAATCTTTCCCCCAGGCAGCATTGCATTCGCCTGTGGAACTCACCGCCACAGGATGGCTTAGGAGCTGGGCCTTAGAACGAGACTATCCAGAGCACAACTAGTTGGTAGGAAAAGGAGAGCTGGGAAGGGACCCAGAGCCCTGCTTCAGGAATGCAGCTGACCTCTAACTCCGGGGGCTGCAGCAGCCCTTCACCGGGGCAGATTTGCTGGCTGCAATGTTTCCTACACCATCCTCAGCAGGGCAGACGGCACTAGACCTGACCTAGGCTGGTGCCTCCTGTGAGAGGGAGGCTGAGCTAGGCTGGGGCTTCTGCAGCTCCAAGCACATGGGAACTGGGGTGAGGGGGTGGTGGGATGCTCGGGCTGCTGTAGGAAAGACGAATGAGTCTGGCCCAGGGCTCAGCCGGAGGGGGGGGGGGGGGGGGGGGGGGGCGGGAGCGGGGAGGGCACAGGGGGGGGGGGGGGCCGGACCAAGCAGCCAGCAAACACCTTCATCAGCAAAGTCACCCTCCTGAGCGGGACAGCGAGGGGGCCGGTCACGGGCAGTGGGGCAGCTCAGGTCGGGGATATGCGCTTGGATTTGGGGGGTGGCGGGGGCGGTGATTTCAGCCCTTTACTTCCATCCACTGTCAGCTGCTAAAACAAAGAGGAACAAGCGTTAGTGAGTGGCTCGGGGGGGGGGGGGGGGGGGGGCTGGGCCCTGCACCCCTGTGGCTCTGGGGAGATCCTGGAGCCCAGGCCATGGCCAGTACCTTCCCACTGTTGGGCGCGGCGTTCTGCTCCATGAAGGTCTCGTATACGCTGGAGCTGATTTTGCGGGGCAGTGGGGGGGCCTTGCTGGCGCTCTTCACCCGGCCTGTGAAGCCCCGGGGGGACCCTGACGCCCCTGCACACAGAGAGGAGGACACAGCGCTGAGCTCTGCCCTGTCATGGCAGCTGGAGCAAAGCCGGCGCTACCCCGTGGCCTCCTGGTGCCAGCTCCGCGGCTGGGCACATACGGGCTGTGAGGGAGTCAGCAGGCCCCAGGAGAGCCAAGCCAGGCCAGGCCCGGCCACCCCCCGTACAGCCTCTGGGTTTCGGACCGTCTGGCCGCATGGATCCCGCCCTTGGTTCGTGTTGGCCCCGCGGGTAGGAGAGCAGCACAGGGCACTGGGGTGGTGCCCAGGCCTGGCCTGTCCTCCTCCCGCCCGACCCAAAGGCATAAACGGCCCCTCAGGCCCTTCACCCTGGCCAAATCCCGGAGCTCTAGAGGGCGGGGAGAGGGCTTCACATGGCCAGGGCACCTCAAAGACCCCCCAGGCACTGTACGGTGATGACCGGCCAGTGTCCTTGTGGGCCCCGGCCACCACCTCAGTGCTGGGCCATGGGAGCTGGGAGTCCGGCGTGAGCTGCGGTCGCGGGCCAGCCCCGCCAGGAGCCCCAGCGACAGCGCAGTTCTGGGCACCACGTGGCTCCGGGCCAGGGCATTGCGCCGACAAGCCGCAGCGGTGCCTGGGCCCCAGCAGAGCGAGCGCTCATGGGAGAGCTGCTCCAGCGCCCCCAAACAGGCGTCACGCAGGCAGGGCCCGTCTGGCTGAGGCTTGGTGCACAGAGGTGACCGGCACCGCGGCACCGGGAGCACAGACGAGGCCTCGGCGCTGATGACCAGGGTCGCACAGCGGAGGAAGCGGCTCACCAGGGCACTGATGGGGGCAGAGGAGGTTACGCAGAGGGGTCCCCCCCCGTCCCCCCCCCAGAGACTCTCCATGTCCAGTCTGCAGCCCCCTCCATGGAGTGCTCGGGCAGAAATGCCTTCACACGGCCCTGCTGGAGCCTGCGACGGGACCTTCACCCAGACAATAGCGGCACTGAGGAGGGGCGGCCCCAGCAACTCTGGTGTCCACAAGAATCCGATTTTGTGTGTCTGGGGCAAATCCATCCCACCGGGCCTGGGACCAACCCAGACAACCACCGAGCTGCTGGCTATGGCTCAACAGAGCGGGCGTGGCCCTGACACCCCCACCCTAGCTCCACTGGTGCCTCTCAGCCCCGACCCGCAGCCCCCTTCAATCCCAGTCCTGGGTGTCTGTACCTGCCGCACTGGGGGAGGGGAAGGGGGTGCCCGGACCTGCCGTGCTGGGGGAGGGGAAAGGGGTGTCTGTACCTGCCGTGCTGGGGGAGGGGAAGGGGGTGCCCGGACATCCCGTGCTGGGGGGGAGGGGAAGGGGGTGT